TCAGCACTCACAGAACTCATAAAGCTAAACATGAAAGGTATAGTGAGGGTACTAAGAACTGGCTAGTGACGTAGGACGTTTTGATCTGCATGGGTCTTTTCCTTAACTCTGGCAACTTTGGTGTGTTCTCCAGTTCTGAAACATTTGTCTCATGAGCGGGGAATGAGTGTGGTTTTGACTGCTGAATTGACGCCTTGACGATTGTAGCTCTCCTTACTACAAGTGGGACATACTGAGAAAAAGTTCTGTTTTGGTCCAAGAGAGCAGCATTGGATTTTGGAAGCTATCATCTTTTCCAGTCAACTCTTTTGCATTGAAAATTGATATGGCCACACTGCAGGGTGTCAGGGCCGGACTTCAGCCATCCTGCTCTGGGACAAGCATGTAACGCTTATTCCTGATTATTTGAAAGCATTTGGAAGTTGACAGGTTTTTGGTATAAGGAGCAGCAGTTGTTTATCTCATCATGAACAAGGAGGTTAGGTAAGAGAACACCTGAATCTTGATGAGTTTTGGGCCAAGCTTCATTTAGAAATGCTGCTGAGAAATGCACTGTGGCGTTTGGAATTGCCATACAGAAGTCTTATTGAGAGAAAATAAATAATAGATGTTAAAACATCTGTCAGATACTATGCTTTTAACAGGAGTGAAGATTAACATGCAGCACTACTGGTGTAGGTGCACACACCACACAGAGTTAAACATACGAACAGCAGGCTCACACTGTGCATACTACAGATGTCTGAATGAGTGAGTGCCTGTGGGCTGGAGCTGCATGTCTTGTGGCTTTCACTCTGCTCCACTGGGAAGTCTTCACTCCTTTTGTTTTTATCCTTTTCCAACTCCAGTACTTTCGAGCGCACAGCTCCCATCCCCTGACCTAACAGCTCCATTGAAGCACATTCCAGCCCCATGATTTCATGGTACCAGGCAGAACTCCCCTGCCACGCTGCTATGCTGCCCGCTGCTTCTCAGGGAGCGAACAAACAGGGAACATAAACTCTCTCCAGAGGAGCAATGTTCTCTGTATATTTTTAGTGCTAGAAATCCAAGATTCATTTAAGGGTGTTTTGTGGGGGCTTTTTTTAATATAGACTTCTGCTAACACAATGGAATATTTCATACCACCCTATTTGCTGTAACATCTCGTACTTTATGTTGTTAAATGGAATCAAAGGAGTTAAAGATGAAAGACTTGTAGTCAACTGGTCCCTCAGCTGGGAGCCAGAGTGGGTTTGTTCTTTGTAATGTATTTGCTAGTGCTTTACCCAGATCCAGCCCAGCTCAGTTTTCATTATTGGATTTACTTGTTTCTGCAAATTCCATACTTTAAGTTAAGTAATTGCTGAGCTTAGACTCAGTATAATACTGCTACTGTTTGTTTCTCATGTTTAACTTGGTATTTATTGCCCATATACTGAACAAACCTTTTATGAGTAGTTGTTTACCATTTGAACATACAAGCACCATTAAAGATGCCATGCTTGCTTTCACAGGTATTCTCTTTACTGGATAGACAGAGAACTTTGTTCTCTCTTCATATGAAACTGTGCCCATTTTACCTTGTACTTTTTCTTTCCCTTGTACTGTTTTCTTTCCAACATGGAGTGTGTCACCAGATGCTAACTTATGTAGTATTACAATAAACCAATCTTTAATTAGCTCATTGTTACCCTTTAAATATTTGGAGTTAGTACAGAATTTGAATGTATGGTTTATGTTGAGACATTGATCAGTCTTGTATTTTCTTGGTGAAAAATGTTCTCAAACTGCCTATTGCATTTGTACCATCTATTTGAGTATATTGTACTCAAAGTAGGGGATGTAATTTTCCAAATACATCCAATTTGTTCATAGTGACGTAATCTACAAACTGGGCAGTGATCCGGGAAGAGGAAAAGGCAGATAACGAACATGTTGTGGGAAGCATAAGAAGCAGAGACTGCGGGGGGAAATGGAGTCTGCGTGACTTGGGACCGACAAGGTTTGTAGACAGAACTGTTCTCCACAGGCTCAGTGTGCCAGCTCTTTTTGGGTGAAGGTATTGGCACATGAGCTGATCTGTGCTGACTGCACAGAGATTCCTGCTTTCTGGTGTAACAGTTACCCCAGGCGGTAGAGCTGTTCCTGCACTGAAGTAGCACTAGCTTCAGGGTTCCAGGGAGAAGCAGCAGTAACATCAGTAGACATTTCAGGTGATGCTGTCTTTGTCTAGACTGCAGTTGAAAAATGTGCAAGTTTCTGCACCATGCTTTAGCGTGGTCATCCTAACATACTTTATTTGATGCACATCCATAGTGGATTTCTAGAACATTATGAAGTTTCTTAGCTATTCTAACAGTGCAGGTAGGAAATATATAAAATCACTGGATTCAAGGCAGTAATAGCTTCCTTACCATATGGCATTTTCTGTGCCTCCTTACTGTCTTGATATACCATGCAAGACCTCTTCTGGGAAGCAGGGAGTGGAAAGCACAAGTGGAAGAAGAAGAGAATACAGGAACAGAGGAGGGATTAAACTGATAAGAAAATGGAAAGTAGGGCTGTAAGAAGCTATAGCTTGTGTAAAAGAGTGTGGTTAAACAGGCGTATAAATGGGCACTGGAAAGCAGGCAGCACTGTGGAGAGAAATAATTGTGGGAACGAGCATCAGGATTTGAACTGAGTGAGGGGAGGAGGGAGATGAGAAGAGGAAATGTGCTCTGACAAACCACCAGCTGTTCTGAGATCCCTGTATGGGCAGAACACCATCTTAGTGATCATCTGTTTCTAGCCTTGTTTTCTTCTTGAGTTCTTATTCTTTTCGTGAAGAGCAGGAACATGGGAAGCTAAAGACAAATGTTATGCCTGTAAAGGACCTATTGCATTGCCTAGCAACTGTTCTATGCCCTTAGTAATAGAACTGCAGCTCCGAAGCCTAGTGAATCCTGAATTTCTTGAGTTTCTACAAGACTTCATTTAATTTATGTATGTTGGGATGCTGTATGCCTCCCTCTCTAGGTGAGCACCTGCCCCTTCTCAGTGTTATCAAGAAGCTGGCTGCAGTCCTTGGGCCAGGTAGTAGCTTAGTGGAAGGTGAGTGAGTTCTGTGAGTGGTGATAAATCCTCTGAGGCAGGTTCCTAGGAAAACAAGGCATCAAATGGTGAACAAGGAATTGAGTAGCATCATTTCACTTTTGTGTAATGGAGAAAAGAGGTGGTCAAGGACTGGAGCACGGGAACTGGAAGTTAGAATTGCTGTTGGAGCAGAGGGTGTGCTTTTCATTGCAGTGACTACCTTGCAGCTCCTGTTCTGGAGGATCTCCAAGAGCACTTAGAAACTGACTCAAGAATATACTAGAAGTCAAGAAGATGTTTGGGATGGGGTGAGGGGGTTACCACCTGGACTTAAATGTGTAGGCATTTATGTGAGCAGGAGAAATTAGCAGGCTGCCAGCCCAAACCTGCTCTTACCTGTCAGCGCAAACATTTAAACATTGGATAAGAAAATTGTCTTGATCTGACAAACAGGCTTACTTTGAAAGCAAAGAGAATTTTTCAGCAAATTTTGAAGGAAATGGGCTAGACTTTTCTGAACTATAGATCATGTTAGAAAAAAAAAATAAAGACCTGTTCCACTTGGAAACACTTTCTCATTATTCTTGAGTCTGAGTCAAAATGAATTAAGTCAATTTGAAGTCCTTTTTTTAATAGTTAAAAATAATGGCACTTGACTCTTGACTTTTGCTGCCATTTTGTGTGGTTTTGTAGTTATATGACTACATTATTTTTTTTTCTCCGCCATACATTTTTAAGCAATTCACAGAAATGAAAATGGACTACATCAGTAAATGAATTCTCTCTACTTTGTTAGAGATGTTGCTTATAAAATTTAGCAGGAAAAAAATCATGCAGCCAGAGGCATAGTGAAGTTGATGTTCCTGCCACACAACAGAGTTCGAGGGTTTGTATTGTGCAGCTTTGTGACTGGGACTCCCTGCTGAGGTTGGTGGGACCCTCATTTATAAGTCGAGCAGTCTTGCATGCTCTTACAACTTGGCATGTAACAGGCATTTTCACATAAAGCATTGCTGAGTTGCTTCTGAATATGGGGGAATTCTTTGGAAAGGTTGGGGAGGTAATTGATCATATGCTGACAGCTTGGGGCTCTGAGAAAATGGTCAGATGAAGGGCTGGGATGCAGGAAAACAAACTTTCCAAGGTGGTAACTGTCACTTAGCCAAGCTATACATGTTTGGAACTTTTTAGTCTTTGCTCACAGCCTCAGCTTCTTAATAATTTTTTGCTGCTTCTCTGTGAACTCTCTTCAGATGTTGACATTTTACTGGTACTGATGCATCCACAGTATTCCAGGTGTGATCTTGAGCTATAGCAGTATTTCTTTGTAGAGCCCTTTTTGAAACTCTATTGCTGCCAAGATAGGTAGTTTCAGAACTTTGATAATCTCTTTCATTATTCTTTGACCTTTGGGTCAAGGACTAGGTTTCTTTCAGGCACCACTCAAAATGTTCTTTGCAGCTAGAAAAATAAGACTTCAATGTTCATGGGAGTTAAGATGGCAGTCTGCTGGGATATTGCATATGTTTACAACAAAAATGTTTGCATTTCTCTATGCTGTGACCCTGAGTTTCTATATCAGAGTGGATAATGTACTAAAGAGAAACATACAGCTTTGGGGCAGAAAAGGATGAAAGAATCTACCACTTGGTTTCTGAGACCTAGAAATCTTGTTTACAGCTTGTTTTACAGCTACATTTGTTTGCATATGCCGTCTGACAGCTTAAAATTACACTAGTTGTCAGTCTCTCTGCAGTAAGATAGAGTATTTTGACTGACTTTCTGCAATTATATTTCGTCAATCCTGAGGTAATTTATACATGAATACACTGAAAGGAGGAGACAAGAGACAGGCATAAGTGAGGCTTTATTAATGACTTTAAAATATAAAAGAATCTGTCAAAAAAAATGCATGTGTTAATTTTACCAATGCTTTGTAACAGAATATGGTCATGGATCGGATTTTCTCTGGTATCCAGCCAACTGGGACGCCTCATCTGGGTAACTACCTTGGAGCCATTCAGAACTGGGTGAATCTGCAGGAAGAGTGCAGCTCCGTGCTGTATAGCATTATGGACATGCACTCTCTCACCATGCCCAAGGAACCAGCTGTCCTGCGCCAGAACATACTGGACACCACTGCTGCCATCCTTGCCTGTGGTATTGACCCAAAGAAGTGTCTCCTGTTCCGACAGTCGCTGGTTAGTGCTCCTGTTATGTTAGATTTGTTTCTCATTGAGTGGCTTACCACACGTGTTAGTGAATGAGCATAGCATTACTGAACTCCTTTATCATCTTTGTGTCGGTGGTCCTAGAAAATGTTAGCAATGTTGGACTTCAAACTTATCCCTTGCTGCTGTTTTGAAGTGGCTGAAACCATGACTGAGGAGTCCATTCAGGGATAAGTACATTTTAAATTTCTGAAGCAAAGCTAGGAGTTTGTGAGAGTTATGAGTAAAATACTGAAAATACCTGTTAGGAGAGCATTAATTTAGCTCTGTAAGTCTCACTTTAGTCACAAAAGGTTAACTCATAAATGCATAAACATAGTCTGTGTAACCATAAAGGCAAGTAAAACATGTTTCTATGGTTTTGTGTTGGCACTTAGCACTTAATCTTTCAGCTGCGCAGTATCTCCCACAGGTGATTGGCATGGTAAGTTTTGTGTCAGTTCCATCATAATCACCAGGGAGTTATGTCTTCCCTGGGATTTTTTTTCCCCTCTTTGCCATAACCTTTTCACATGCACATTTTTCCACCTGATCTGATAAGTCGTATGTGAAATATTTGCTGCTTCTCTTGACCACCCCAAGGGGTATTGGGCTTACCTTCCTACTTGGCATATGTCAGCCTAATCTACTGCATGCTGCATTTTCTTGGAACACAATTTAGTTTCTTGCCTGGTTAACTTCTGTTACTGACTCTAAACTGGCAACGTTCTGTAATTTCCCACAGAGGCAGATGTGGCATAGCTTCTGGTCTTGTGAAGACATCTTTAAATGGATGTCTGACTTGCAACAGAACTGCAAAGGTGGTGTGCACAGGGTCTGAATTTTATTGGTGTGAGATGAAATCATGGTATTCTATTCCTCTTTGAACATGGTTCTTCACAGGCAGAGTTTCCTGTGGTTGACAATCGTAGCTTCATATCCCTGGTGGATATTGAAATGATGAAGACAGATACACTTCCTGCTTTGCTTTTCCTCTGTATTAAAAAACCAATATAATAGATTAGCTCAGAATTATAGTGGAGATATGCTTAAATTAATTTATCCTTTGTTCAAATCTGTTTATCCTTTTAAATAAGTTACCAGCTTGGGTTTTAATTTGGCTGTACTCTGACTTAACTTCTTTCTCATTGAGGCTGACTTTAACTGGAAAAACCTTAAGGTGATCACAAGCCTGTGATGCAGTAAAAACCAGTCTGGAGTTTTGTTATTTCTTGTTTTCAAGCAACTGAACAATTCAGTTAGTTACAACACAGGATCAGTGACTAAATAAACAGAGAGGACTCTTCAGCCTAGAAGAGAGATGATTTGCAGGTTACAGTTAGAGAGTAATAAAGTAAAGGTGTATAAAACTGCAAGTGAAGTAGAGAAAATAGATAGGGAACAACTGTTTTATCCACTGAAGAACATGAACTAACAGGTATCAAAATAAGGTAACACCTGGTAGATTCAGCATGAGCAAAACAATGCTGCATTTCATGAAGTCCACAATTAGGCTACAGAACTCCTTGGCACAGGGTACGGTGCATGCTGAAATGTGTATGAATTCAGAAAAGAACTCAAGAAATTAATCTGAAAAATCTGTTGGGGACTGTTATATACCTGAGGTGCCACCTCTGCAGGAAGTGCTGCAGTCACAGTTGGGAGAGAATCTATGCTTTTCCGTACTTATGCTCTTTTCTGTTGGTTGCTGTCAGAGATGGATATTTGATCTGTCCCAGTGTTGCTTTTCTTATGTTCTCTTAAGTCTAAAAGCTAAACTACTGCTGTTCCAGGTTTTGCTAAAGCCAACACGCAGACTTGCCTTGAAGCCAGCAGATTATCAGTGAGGATCTTAGATTGCAGTCAGCCACAGAAAGCATGTTGTGTCTTTCACAATATAATAACGCAGAGATTGAGACTTTGAGTCCCCAAAGAGGAAGTATCAGACTCGGGAAACGATGGGAGGACAGGGCTGTAAGTGATGCTTCTACAGAACCAATACAGTCAACAGCCAATGAAAACTTTAGATAGCTAGAGTTGAAAAATATTCAGCTTTATCAAACAAAAGTTTCCACCAAAGATGATTATGGTTTATGTTATGGTGGTTAGGCTGGCCTCTGTTAAATAGACTACCTTTTATCTTAATTTTTCTGGGTGTCCTTATCTGTCCAGATCCAACGGTGGTTGTTCATATTCAATCTAAACCATTAAGTATTTGCTTTCTGTGGGCAGTGTCTGATGTCTTGAACCGTATTTTTACTAATACTTCTCTCACATGTATCAATACAGCTTTCAGAAGTAGCTGATTCTAGCACATTTTTGAAAGCTCATTGTCACACTGCAAGCAGCAGAAGGAGTATTACAATTGTTTGTGGATCCAGACTGTTTCAGTAATGGTTCAGGCTGAAGTGGTTTGACTTCCCCAAAACAAGTCTATTCAAGCTGTATGTAGTGGTCAGGTATACCCAGAGATGCACTGTGGTCTGTTACAATTGCGTTGGCAGGACCAGATGTTTCTCTGGAAGCAATTAAAAGGAATATCTGCGTGTAGCTCTTGATGCGAGGAAAGGAGACGGGAACCTTGCTAATGTGATTATTGTTTTAGTATGATAATGAAATAGTACGTTATGGAATGTCATAATATCGAGATGATTGTTCCTGAAAACAAAGGTGTATGATGGATTGCAGCTATTGCTAATCATGAAAGTTTATTGCTTGATTTTTGGATTGGTAATTGCTCAGTTTTTAAAGAAGAGCTGGCCTCTCCTTTTCAGCCACTGTAGCAGTCTCCAAGGGTGGTCTAAAAAGCTACAATTTTGTTTACAAACATTTGCTGAGGTGTAAAGCAAATTGACCAAAACAGATTGTATACTGAAAGAGGGTGTACTTCCAGAGGTCATCAGGAAAGCAGTGAAAATCCAGCTGCAAATAGAGAACTGGTTTAGGTATTTGCTTATTGGCAAAGTAGCTTTCTCTTTTCAATAGCAGATCAAACTATAAATGAGAGAGTTCTCAGTAGATTAACGTGCTACAATTATTGCTGTATTTTGAGTTCTGTCTTGAAAATTACCAAATCTATAAATCACAGAAGTGCTACTGCAGTTACTTCTGATTAACACTTCTGTCCATTTTTTTTGAACAAACATCATGTGACAAAATTATTGTGAAATGAGAACTTTTGGTTTTTATCACCAAAACCAGCTACAACTAATGTCTGGTAGCACCCTGATTCTGTAGCAGTAAAGCAGAATGAAATTCTTGCACTGGAAAAGTATGCTAGTAACGGTGAGCCCCATTAAGGGAATTGCTCATGCAGTCACTACTGTAAATGCTGCTGTGTCCTCTTACTTCTCTGGATTAACCTGGGCAAGAATGGTCTAGAGTTGCCGAAGAGGGGGATTTTTTTGTTTGTTTGTTTGGCTTACTCTTTTTGTACTTTCTTTCTGTTGCTGCTTGTGTTGCTTCTCTGGAATATGTTTGCCATATGTGAAAAAAATATTGATACTTTGTTTCTCGAAAGGCATGTGCATTTATTTGGTAAGGGTTTCACTGTCACTAGGCTTTTATTTACTGCAGGGTTTATGCAGATCAAATATCTAATCCAGAGCTATCTGAAATACCTGCCTCCAGAGTTTTCCCACATTTTATCATCCTTCCCAATACAAGCAAGAGACAAAAGGCTGAATAATTTTAATCACAGATTGACTGCTGGGAAAAAGTGTGGTGAGAACAGATACCTCTCATGTTTACACCAGATCCAAAAGGTGCTGCTATGATAAGGATACAGGTCTGGGAGTCCCAGAACTGATTTTAGTGATGTCCTTGCCTTGCAAGTAAAATGAAATAACAGTGGGAGGAATTTTGCGTAGGCTGATTTTTATTGTATTGCTTAGAGGGTATATGGTCTCTGTTCTTATGAATCAGGTGTACAGCTAAGTTACCTATAAATGGAAAGTGCTAGTTTGATGAAAATTAGGTTTGTATGCTTCAGAATCTACCATTTGTAAATTACTTTTTTTTTTTTTATACCATATATGAACAGAAGTTAATGGCTGGCTGTGTATTTGGTCTCCACACGTAGCAGTTCACCAGATACCTCCCACACTCATATTACAATACACAAACTTAAACTCCAGCTTAGGGAAGTAGTGGCTACAAAGAACAAGTGATAATAACTTGGAAATACTTAGAAGCAAGCAGGATGATGATGAATATTTAGGGTAGTGTTTGGAACCACATTGTCTGTGAAGGGTTACAAACAAGCACACTTAATTAGAGTATCTAGGAAAACACAATTGTGGAAGATGTTGGACACTAGAATGGCCTCCCAGTGAGAGAAGCTCTTTCATTACAGCTTGTTTAATTATATTTTCTTAAGTAGGAAGACAAGTCATAGAAGAGTGACAATTTCTGTAAGAATAAAAATAAATGCATATTTCAAAATTATGCATTTTTATTTGGAGCACAGCTGCAAGATGTATGAAACCCTCTTTGGTCTTAGAGAAAATAATGTCAAGATACGCTTTAAGTGGTTGCCTTTGCCTACCAGGCATAAAAGAGAAGTAACAGAATAATGACTTATACAACATATCCTGAGAATACTAGAAGAAAGAGCAAATATATTCCTTAAATTATACCATAACTGATAAAAGCTGTAACAGTCGACTTTCATAAAACTTAGAATGTTTTATTAAAAACAAAAAGGGCTACAGGGGGGGAAATAATGAAGACACTAAGCAATCTGCACACATGGTAAGCTTATATGGTATAACCCATTTTCTCTGATTCCTGGTGGGTACAATACACATTTCAGTTCTTACCCATAACCATCTTGTATCTCATCTGCTTCACAGTCAAAACAATTTTAGAAACTGCTGTTGCTTTTATGTGGTCTCAGGCTGTTCTTCCTGTCCACCTACCTATCGTAGTAGACACATGCTAAATGTCCCAAGAGAAACTAAAATTCCATCAGAATTGATTCAGCAGGCAGT